TTTGTGGATGGTTAGCAAAACTCTTAACATTCCCTGCTGGCTGCGGATGCTAACAGATGCTTGGATGAAATGTATACTCTAAGTTTAATTACCTAGATAATTGCCATAACCGTTTAGTTGCTTTTCCTATTTAAATCTGTCCATACAGATAATGTACAATTAATGAGAATTAGCACTGCCAAATTATTGGGAATGTGAGTTTTAAAAATGTGATGCCTTATGGTCCAGATAAACTGTGTCTGCATTCAACTAGTAATTATCTCTGTAGCAAACTCTGATAGACACTACAGCATAGTTCTCCTTCAGGGCGTTTCCAGTAGAGTAGGGCCTTTGAACTTAGGGACTGAGAGGAATATTCACAGTGGAGGTGACCTGGGATGACTTCTTGAGAAAAGTTGGACTAAAGCTGCTTTTTAACACTTAACAGTAAAAAGTACTCTTTTTGGTATATAGTTCTATGAGTTTTGATACATTCATAAAGTCATATAACGACAATCACATTGAACATACAGAACATTTCCATCAATGACAAAAACTGCCTTGTGCTACCCCCTTATTTTCAACCCCACTCCTACCCCCTGGCAACCACTGTCTCTAGTTTTGCCTTTTCCAGAACATTATATAAATGGAATCATAATAATATGTAGCTTTTCAGTATGGCTTTTTTCACTTAGCTTCGTACATTCAAAATTTATGCATTTTGTTGCTTATACCAATGAAATGTTATTGATGAATAGCATTCCATTGTATGTATATACCACAGTTCGTTTATCCACTCACCAGTTTGAAGACATATGGTTCTTTCACAGTTTTTGATATCTATCTATGGATAAAGCCAACATAAATATTTGCATGTAGGTTTTTATGTGAACATAAGTTTTCATTTCTCATGGATAAATACCTAGAAGTGAAATTGTTGGGTCATACCGTTAAGTGTATGTTTAACTTTAGAGGAAACTGCCAGACTGTTTCCAAAGTGACTGTACATTTTGCATTCCCACTGGCACTTAGCAGGGTTCCATTGCTCTCCTGCATCATCAAAGACTGCACCTTCCCCAGTGTTTTTGTTGTTTGGTTTTTGTTTTCCCTATACTAATAGGTGTATAGAGATTGTGTTTTTAATTTGGATTTCTCAAATGGTGAATGATGCTGATGGCTTCTGCCATTTTTGAAGATATTTACATCATTTAGTTTAATGTGGTTATCGATGTGGTTCAGCCTAAAACTATCATCTTACCATTTTGTTTTCTATTTGTCCTATCTGTTTTTCGTTCCCAGTTTTGTCATTGTCTGCCTTCTATTGGATAAAGAGTAGTCTTATGATTACATTTTATTTCCCTACTGTGGTGGTATTATTATTATTATTATTATTAACTCTTTGATTATTTTAGTGGTTTCTTTGGGGTTCATATTATAATCTTAATTTGTCAGAGTCTACCTTCAAGTGAATTTTACCACTTCACATTTAACATGAGAATGTTTACAGTAGAATAATTTCATTTCTCCCATCCTAGCTTTTGTGTTGTTAGCATACATTTTACTTGTACATATGCTAAAAACTCCATAATACAGTATATCATTTTTGTTTAAAGAGTTAATCTATTAAAGGGATTTAAATGATTAGGAAAAGTCACTATTTCTGATGCACTTCTCAGAACTGTTAAGTGGTTGCATATTTTTATGTGGTATAATTTACCTTTGGGCTAAAGGAATTCCTTTAAGGTTTTTTGTTTGGTTGGTTGGCTTTTGTTTTGTTTTGTTTTGTTTTATTTGGTAGTGTGGGTCTGCTGGGTGTGAATTCTTTCAACTTTTGTGTATCTGAAAAAGTCTTTAGGATGCCTTCATTTTGAAAAATCATTTCTTTGGATATAGATGTCTAGTTTGACAGGTTTTTTTTGTTTGTTTGTTTGTTTTTAAGTTCAGTTAGTTAAAGATGTTGCTGGACTGTCTTCTACCATGAATTGCTCCTAATGAGAAATCTGTTACTCTCCTTCCTTTGTTCTTGTGAAGATTATATGCCTTTTTTTTTTTTGTTTTCTGGCTGGTTTTAAGATTGTCTCCTTACCACTGATTTTAAGCAGTTTGGTTATGATGTGACTTGTAATTTTCTTCATACCTCTTGTGTTTGGCATTTGTTGACCTTCTTGGACCCATAGGTTTATAGATTTCATCAAATTTCATCTAAAATCATAATTATTTTTTGAAATATATTTTTCCAAGTCCCTTCTCTCTCCTTTCCCTTTGGGGACTCCAATTTCAAGTTCATTAGGCTGCCTGAGGTTATGTCACAGCTCCCCGATGCTCTGTTAATTTTTAAATTTCATTTTCTCTCTGTATTTTATTTTGAATAGTTTCTGTTGCTATGGCTTCAAGTTCACTATTATTCTGCAATGTTTAATCGCTATTAATCCCATGCATGGTATTTTTCATTTCAGACATGGTAGTTTTTACCTCTGGAAGTTTGATTAGGATCTTTTTATATCTCTTATATCTCTATTTAACTATTTGAACACCTGGACTAAAGTTATAATAACTCTTTTAATGTCCTCTGCTGATTCTCTCATCTGTGCTAGTTCTGGGTTGGTTTCAATGGTGACCCTCAGATGGGCCCATTTTCCTGCTTCTTTGCATGTTGGTAACTCTTGATTAGCTGTCACACTTTGTGCATTTTATTATGTTGGGTGCTCTATATTTTTATATTTCTGTAAATATTCTTCAGGTTTATTCTGAAGATGTTAAGTTCTTATAAACAGGTTGATTCTTTCAGGTCCTGCTTTCAAAATTTATTAGGCAGGCCCAGAGTAACCCTAAACCTAGGGTTAATTACTCCTACTACTGAGGCAAGAACCTCCCATGTACTTTCCCCAGGGACCTGTGAAATATTGGCTTTTCTCATCTGGCTGGGAACATGCAACTTGGGTTAGTGCTCAGAACCTTAAGTAACTTTTAAAAACAAAATTATAAGCTTGGATGTGGTGATATATTGTACAAAAGTCCTGGGGAGCTTTTTCAAATAAGTTTATGTATGTCTTATACATATACTTATTTAAGTATATGTATGTCTTATAATTTGGAATAATAGATGGATTAAAATAAAACAAATGAATTGTGTTTGAATCTTAGAGTTTTTTATCACTAGATTTCTTTTATTATTTAGATACTTTATCAAAGTAATGTATTCATTTCACTAATTTGTGGTAAGTAAAACATTAGAAATGCAATATTCAGTGCTCTTTTTGAAATTAAAAAATCAGCATATAATAATCTTTGCATGGTGGTTGAACATATAACACCATTTTCTTCTAAATTATAGTTTTTAAAAATTTATATTGGTTGGAGAGAAGGAACTATTAATAACCTAGAATAAATGATGTCAAACTCAGAAACATGGCAGAGGAAGTAGATAGGCTTTTCACAATGTAAAAACCAAGAAAATTAATTTTACTCACACATTTTGGTGAAAATTAACTTTGGGTAGGCATTGTAAACCTGCCTGAACTGTCTTGTCATGCTTGCAAAGACTTTGTAAAATATGGAATATTTAATTCAAAAATATGCATTTATTATATTACTGATTGAACATATCTTAATGGAAATGGGGTTGTGAGCTTTTCTTGTGGAAAAGAAATAAAAACACACTTGCCTTGTTTTATATTGTAAATATGTGAATACAATGATTAAGGCTGAGGTAATTTACCTATTAATAAGTCTAAATGACACACTTGTCCTACTGTGATAACTGAAAAATGCGGCGGATCAGGGAGATCTAGAACAGTTAAGGCACATTCAGTAATTTAGGGGTATGGCAGGATATATAAAGAATTGATGTAAGTATATATACATTTGTTTGGAAACGTGGTGAAGTCATTCCCACACTTACTTCTTAATAAAGAAGGGAGGTTGATGATCTTTGATAACATAACAAAAAGCTACTTTTGCTGACACCTAAAACTCTTATAAGATTGAAATATTACCATTTTACATTTACTGTTATAGTATTAAAATTAAAATTTCAAGATGCCTTTATTATTTCAAATGGAAGACACTGTAGAATTCTGTATCAGTTTTTATAATAAAAAATGAATGTCTATATTTTATTACTTTTAAACACATTAACAAATGTAGAAAATTGATTTATTTGAAAATCGAATAACTCAACCTAAAAAAGCTGTTGAATATTTAAAAAACTTGTTCGATGGTATCCTAACCAAGCTAGAAGGAGCCTGGGAGCAATGTACATCTTGAACTAGAGCAATGCATTTTTCAAGCAAAGGTGAGCTGTCAGCCCCCGTGCAGCTGAGTTGCCCCTTTTCCTTGACTAAGTTGCTATTGCTCACATAGGAAATTTCCATTTATTTCAACCATATTTTTCTTTAGCTCCTTTCCTGAACTGTAACCCATCTTTTCTTATCCTACTTGATTACATTTTTAAGGTTTTTTTTTTTTAGACATTAACAGGAAGATAAAAACTAGACAAGATGCTTGATTCATCACAGTGACTTGACTTTTCAGGCGTCTTCAAATGCTAAATATACAATCTCTCCAAGATATAGATTCTTTACTCATTATTATCTCCACTTTAGTAGGTGGAAAAGAGGACTGATTAGATTATTAGAAAATCTGTGTATGCAGTTAAGCCCCATTCTTTAATGGTGGCTATCACGGTAAAAAAAATGGCCCAGCCACTAAGCATTGCGTTCAGGCTTCAGCTCTTTCAGTATCCAAAAATATCTCCCATATAAAGTAAATATCCCAATGAAGCATCAGGGAGAGAAGAAAATGAAACACAGAGAGTTTTTTCTTTTTCATAAACATTGTGTCTACTTCATCCCGGTATAGCCAAATGAGATGGAATGAAAACGATGCCAAAGGTTTGTCTCTGCATTTGGAAAACTAATTAATTACAGGCATTGAATATCCTACTGTTTATGAGGAAAAAATGTAAACTTTGCTGCTTTTTACTAATAGTTATTTTTTTCTCTCTTTTTCTCTTTCCATAGACCACCACTTTGCATATACAATTTTGTACTTAACAAAAATGAGGAAGTATTTCTCAACCCGAGCACATGCACATCAAAGGAAATATAAAATGCCTTCTTCCATCAGATATAAAAACTTGTTTGCGAATTAAAGAACTTCTAAAAGAATGCATTGTTCAATCTGGGATTCAGATATTTCTACTTCCTGAATAAATTTTTAAAATCAAAAATACAGAAAATTATTAAAGAACATATGGTAAAGCATTCTGAATATATATATATTTTTTAAGAGTTTATTTTATTTGAGAGAGAGAAAGCACAAGTGGGGGGAGGGGAGAGAGGGGGCAAGCAGACTCCGTGCTGAGTGCAGAGCCTGGGCTTGATCCCATAACCCTGAGTTCATGACCTGAGCCAAAATCAAGAGTCAGATGTTCAACCAACTGAGCCATCCAGGAGCCCCACATTCTGAATATATTCTAAAAGCTGTTTATCTCAATCAAGTGTTTATCTTTGAATGTTTCCCTTAATTACTTATTATTAACAGATACTATGTTTTTAGAAAAAAAGAGAAGCCTATTGCTTCAATACACTGTCTAACTAGTATCATTCTCTACTTCTCAGACTGCAGTAGTAAAATGAGTGAGTATATATATTTTTAATTGTAAATTTGTCACTTGGAGAAATCACTTGGATTAATGTAAATCTTGTAAACATAAATATAACTTCTGTTTAGTGATCCATTTGGCGTTTAGTGTTCCATTTGATCTATTTGGCATCATAAATAAATTAGTTTCTATGGAGAACAATAATATATGGGTCTGTGACGCTTAAGGTCAAATCTTGGGTCTACATACTGGTGGTGAGAACTTGAGTAGCTAAACTTACCTCACCATGTCTCAGTCATCTAAGAATTTTTGTCAAGATTGAGTCAGTATTTTGACTAGTGTCTGCCCATAATGATAATAATAATAAAAATACCTATAGCTAACACATACATCACTGTCTTCCTACACAGTTTAATAAC